GCTGCAAAATGTAACAGTCATTCTATCAGGTATCGAGGGGCCCAAGTGGCCCAGCTGGGGACTCCTGGCAGAGCCCGTGTTAGAATGCAGATATGATGCGACTCATTTAAGGAGCAGCAGCCATGGGCATGACGCCGTCCCCAGATTCAAGTGAACAGAAACAGTTCCATCCTCGGGAAGCAGTCTGCACACACGCTTGCTGGGCCTCCTCCCTGGCGACAGCTGGCCTTCCCCTGTGACAGATCTTCCCAGGCCATCCTCTGGACCTCGGAGCCACCTCACTGCCGAGCTCTGCCTGAGTGGAGAGGCTCCTTTTACGCCTCATTTTGGAAATTGATTTTAACATACTGCATTCTGGATTCTGCCTGCAGAATTTCCACTTATTAGTTCATCACTGATACTTCTTGTTAGCTCATGCATTTCAGTGGAGTATTTTCTTCTACCTCATTGAGCACAGTTGCAATGCATCCTTTAAAATCCTTCCCCAGGCCAGGGATGTAGCTCAGTGGCTCAGAGCCTGCCTGGAAAGTGTGAGGTCTTGAGTTCGATTCCCAGTACTCCCCTAAAATAGAATAAAATTCTTACCTGCTAATTCCAACATTTGCATGAACTCAGGACTGACGTTTTATTTGACCTTTTTACTTACGAATGAGTTACACTTTACTAATTCTCTTCTTTTTTCCTTGTCAAAAAATTATATATTGGGTAGCTCAGTGGCCCAAGTGCCTGCCTGGCAAGCACAAGGTCCTGAGTTCAATTCCCAGTACCAAAAATGAAAAAAAATTACATATTGTACACCATGATGTTTTGAAAATTGTACACATTGTGGAATGACTAAATCAAGCTAATTACTATAAGTATACATTACATACTTATCATTTTGGGGGTGAGGACAATTAAAATCTAATCCCAGTAATTTTCTTACATACAACTCATTGTTAGGAACTACAGTCATTACGTTGTATAATAGACCTCTTGAGCTTATTCCTCCTAACTGAAAGTTTTTAACTTTTTCTCTTTTTTTGCTATATCCCCAACCCAAACCTTTGTGTATTTTTTGAGACAGGATCTGGCTAAGTTGCTAAGTTACCCCGGCTGGGCTTGAGTTTGTGATCCTTCTGCCTCAGCCTCCCAGAGTTTGGGCACGAGCCACCACACCTTGCTTAAAATTTTGTGCCTTTGTGCAGTGTCTCCCCACCCCCACCTCGTCCCCTGGGAAGCACCATCCTCCCTGCTTGGTGAGTTCACCGTCTCAGGTCCCCATCTGAGTGAGATCAGGCAGTGTTGTCGCTCTGTGCCTAGTTTCTGTCACTCAGCATACTGCTCCTCAGGCTTATCCATGTGCCTGCCACTGAGAGCGCCCCCCAGGCTGTCAGGATGCTGCTGGGTGTGCACCACGTGGGTGTGACCCATTCCGCCACTGCAGGACACATGGTTGACTCCATGTCTCATCTGCTGTAAGTAACGGATGGCTCTTGGACACACGGATTTCATTCTCTTTGGATACGTCCACAGTAGTAGCATTGCCGAATTGTGGTAGATCTGTTTTTTTAGGTTTTTGAGATGCCTCCATACTGTTCCCCAGATGGTTGTGCTAATTTCCGTTCCGGCTAGTGGTGGCAGTTGTCTGCTTTGGTTTCCATGCTGGCCGGTGCTCGCCACCTTCCTGTTCTCATTGTAGCCCTTCAGACGGGTGTAAAGTGCGTGTGGGGGTCGCACTCAGTCTACTCTACACCTCCTTGATGACTGGCAATGTTAGACGTAGTTCCACACCCCTGTGGGCCTGTGGGTGTCATCTGTGGGTAATGTCTGTTCCATTCATTTCCCCATTTTGAAACTGGGTTCTTGCTGTTGAGTGACTTGAGACCCTTGTGTGTTGCAGTATTAGATTTGGCTATTAGATATCAGAAATATAGTTCATGGATGTTTCCTGTCTCTTCTGTACATTGCTTCTTTGCTGTTGACAGTTGTTTTTGCTGTGTAGAAACTTTAGCTTAATGCCATCTCCTGTGTCTATTTCTGTTCTTGTCTGTGCTCTTAGGGGCATAGCTAAAAACACATTGCCCGGAACAGTGCCATGGAGTCTGTGTTCTCTGCCAGTCCTTTCTAACGTAGTTCTGGGTCCTTTTGAGTTGAGTTCTGTGTATGGTGTGAGTAGAGGAGGAAGGGATCCAGAGTTCAACATTTTCATTTAAAAGACAGAGCTAGTAAAACCCTCCAGTTTTCCTCATACTGAATGGTTTTGGGTTGTACCCTGGGCGTTGCTGTGCTGGGAAGACTGGGTCTTGTATTCCTTCAGAGAGTGTTAGGACTTCGACCTTAGTAGCCAACTAATTTGACTGGGCTAACCGCACAGTCTCCAGAGCAAAGCTCTAATGTCACCACAGCTCTTGTCTTCTTAAGAGGTACTTTGAGGTACTTTGCCTCTGTTCTGCACAGGCATGGTTCAAGGGTCAGCCAAAGCCTAGGGCAGAATTTACACTGGGATTTAGGGCTTCCTCTCTCTGGCTTTTTCCTTTCTGGTCCTCAAACTGTGTGTGTGTGTGTGTGTGTGTGTGTGTGTGTGTTGTGTTGTGTTCCTTTTTGTTTTGTCTTTGAGACAGGGTCTCATTCTGTAGTCCAGGCTAGCTTTGAACTCATTGTGTAGCCAAGTACGACCTCGAACTTGAAGCAGTCTTGCTGTCTCAGCCTCCCAAGTGCTGGGATTGCAGGTATGTGCCACCACATCTGGCTCCTGGTCTCCTATCTTTCCAATGACTAGGAGCTTCTGATCAGCTGGCTACATATTGAGGGTCCTGTGGCCTCCTGCTCGGATTCAATTAATTTGTTAAAAGTGTCTCACAGAACTTTGTCCTCTCTTTGGGCCATGCAGACTGTTTTCTATCTGAACTGATATTTTAGCCAACTTTTTTTCCTGAATTGTAGTCAACTGTTCTGAAGGAGGGAAAGCTTTCTTCCTTTCCTACACAATATTGATGCCTGCTATGTGGAGGAATTGTCCTATACCCTGTGTAATCAGTTCTCCTGGAGCTCCCGCAAGTACCCTCAAACTTAACTCAGTCCTGACACCGCCTGCCTGAGATGCACTCAGATTGCACAGTTGAAGGGCTCCAATCCACAAAAGTGTCTCCCACGTCAGTCACAAGTCTGGGCCTCCAGATCTTCTGACCACCTGGCTGCGTGCCGCGGGCCCCCAGAGCCTGCACTTCTGATTCTGCTTGCTACAGCAGCTCACAGAATCCGAGAAACACTTCATTATCCTTTCTGAGCTGTCTAAAGGGAATCCCAAAGACACTGGAGCAGCGGGACGGGAGAGGTGCACGGGGTGAGATAGGTGGGACGGGACATGGCGCACCCTGCCCTTTCCCTCTGATCTCGCCTTGGTCCTTGCTGTGAGCGTGGCCCACCCTGGAGCTGTGAAGGGCCACTAACCCCCAGTTAGCTCATGAGCATACAAAAGATATTCCTTTCATTCTAGCTAGAGCTTCCAAGAATTCTCTTTAGGAGCTATATGCCAGAAAAAACATGGCCACATTTGTTTTTCACAGTATAACAGACTGACTTCTGCCACTTCTAAAGCCAAAAGTCACTGAAAACAAGAGTCTGGAGTCATCCTTTCCTGTAGGGCCCAGCCCTCCCCTCCTCAGCGCTCGCCTTGTTCCAGCCTGAGAACCTAGATGCCTCCAGGCCACGGCTGTCCCTGTCCGGCAAGGGTGCCCAGTCTGCCACTTGTGTCTACGAGGCAGCCGGGTCAGGCACCGGGAGCAGAGCCTTTCCTTTTGTAGCGCTACACCTTTCCGTGTAAGTTGTCCTTGTAGGAAGGATTCCGCTCCTGAAAAACAAAACCAAAAGTTCAAAAATCCGCTATTATTGTCCAGCTAGCAGCCGTGTCTTAAAATTCTTTGACAGCATTCTGGGACCCGCTTGTGTGTCCAGACTTCATGGGGAGTGTTCTCAGTAGTAGGTCCCATCCTTTTCCTAGGAGGTTTCTTTTCTTCTTGCCTCAGCTTCCCAAGACCCGACAAGAGCTTGTCCCCATCTCTTCTCCTCAGTGGCAGGATTTTACCAGAACTCCTCAGAAGAAAAAGCTGATGGAGTTCCTGCTGCTAAGAGTTGCTTTTTATCTGAGTAACATTTCACATGTTTTTTTATTTTTTATGGAAGAAGATGACAAAAGGAAGTATGTAGCTGAGCCTTTATTTTGATATCTGATTGATACTCGACAGCCTGGCACGGCTGGGCTGGTGTGAGCCTTGAGGTCTGCCAGGGTGCATTCTAGAACAGGCAGGGCCATCAGCCTGGCGTGAGTGGCCGAGAGCATGCACCATCCTTCTCAGGAAGCAGGCAGCAAGAAGACTGAGGAGACAGGAGCCTTGTGATTCTTTTGGGGTAAACAGAGGCGCTGGTTTAGACTCAGGTATGTAGATTTAGAACGCAGCACTGTAAACATGCAGACCATGGATGGTAGAGGAAAACTACAGGGAGGTTCGTGGGATTGGGAGCCCTGAGTTCTATGTCAGATGCCCCAGAGCCTGCCTTAAGAGCTCTGTTCCACTCTCTGCATGGATTTTCCTATCAGGAGGGGTGGTTTTCACAGGGTGGTGCAAATTAACCGGCGGTGTGCGTGTGGAGGCCCTGGAGGAGAGGAGGTCGTGGGTACTGGAGTATGTCTGTGTGCAGACAGGGTGGGACAGAAAGAATAGGCCATTTTATCCCTTCCCGTTGCCACTTGGCCTTTCCTGAGGTCCACTGGGCAGACCTCTGGAGTGTACCATCTACCTTTGGCCCTCGGAGGAGCAGGTTTAAACGCGTTTACTTGTATTAAACAATATTGCAGGTCTTGAGTTAACTCACCCTCTGCGGTCTGTCCATGCGTAATCTGGGTTTCACCAGCAGTTCCCCTGAGAAGAAAGTAAGAAGCAAGCCAAAGTAAACATGTATTTCCTAAGGGTCTCTTTTGGCTTTTTAATTCATTCCTTTTTTAAATTTCAATTTTGCAGAATCCAGGGCAACAAATCCCACCTTTAACCCCCGCTCATTCCTTCTCCGGAATCCCAATGACGAATTCGAGCAGTTCCCCATGGACGAGGAAGGGGAGGGGAACGAAAGCACATGGACCGAAACCAGAAACATCTCCTTCAACAGGAGCAGCCCTCTGCAGAGGCCGCCCCCCGTGTTCATCTCGGACGCCGCCGCGGGCTACCTGACCAGCCCCTGGCTGACGCGCTTGGTCCCCTCCATCTACACCGGCGTGGTGCTCATCAGCCTCCCGCTGAACCTCCTGGCCGTGGCTGTGTTCGTCCTGAAGATGAAGGTGAAGAAGCCGGCCGTGGTCTACATGCTGCACCTGGCCACAGCGGACGTGCTCTTCGTGTCCGTGCTGCCCTTTAAGATCAGCTATTACTTTGCCGGCAGCGACTGGAAGTTCGGCTCTGGGATGTGCCGCTTCACCACCGCCGCCTTCTACTGCAACATGTACGCCTCGGTCATGCTCATGACAGCCATCAGCGTGGACCGCTTCCTGGCGGTGGTGTACCCCATCCAGGCCCTCTCCTGGCGCACCCTGGGGAGGGCCTGCTTCACCAGCCTGGCCATCTGGGCCATGGCCATCGCCGGGGTGCTGCCGCTGCTCCTCAGGGAGCAGACCGCCCGGGTCCCGGGGCTCAACATCACCACCTGCCACGACGTGCTCAACGCCACGTTGCTCCAAGGCTTCTACGCCTACTACTTCTCTGCCTTCTCGGCCATCTTCTTCTTCGTGCCGCTGATCATTTCCTCCGTCTGCTACGTGTCTATCATCCGATGTCTCAGCTCGTCCACCGTCGCCAGCCAGAGCAACAAGTCCCGGGCCGTGCTCTTGTCGACGGCTGTCTTCTGCATCTTCCTCATCTGCTTTGGGCCCACCAACGTCCTTCTGATCACGCATTACTTGTTCCTGTCCCACAGCGCTGCCACCGAGGCTGCCTACTTCGCTTACCTCCTTTGCGTCTGCATCAGCAGCGTGAGCTGTTGCATCGACCCCCTGATCTACTATTATGCCTCCTCAGAGTGCCAGCGCCACCTCTACAGTATCCTGTGTTGCAAAGAAAACGTGGATCCCAACAGTTACAACAGCAGCGGTCAGTTGATGGCAAGTAAAATGGACACCAGCTCTGCTAACATGAATAACAGCATCTACAAGAAGCTGTTAGCTTAGGAAAAGTGACTGCTGGTCAGTTAAAAAGAAAGGTTAAGAAAGTGAAAAGCTCAGGAATTCTATCAGTCCCTGGCAAAGCGACTTCATCGCCTAAAATAACAAATGCATGGTTTGCATGCCTGCTGCTTAAGAGAGCATAAATATTGGTTAGTTACCAGAAAAAGTAACAGGAATGGAAGACAGTGTTATTCCAAGGGAGTACTGCCAGTGCCACAGTAACTGAATGTCACTCTTTTAGATATATAGGTGGCTTACATATATGTATGAGTATGCACACACAAGTATTATCTGCAGCACAGTATGGATTAGGCACTTTGAAGCCTTCTCTTTTTGCCCCCAGCAATTATAGAAAAAGAAAACCTCTGATTGTCTGACGTTATCTGACAAGTCCAGGCTGGTGAAGTTTAGCCATGAGCCTCCGAAGATGTGCAGCAGTAGTGACAGTAGTAGTTTGGGTTTACACACAAATGGCATGTGTTTATACATCGATTATTTTGCAAATAAGTGAATTTTAATATTGTTTGTCAGCAGTGCTTAACTAATGGAAGGATAAGATTTGGTGGTATGCAGAAAAAGTTCTGATGTTTTTCATTTTAAATATGTCAAAGTTTAAATTTTTAAAGTTGTCGCAACAGATGAAAAACCCAATTTCTATGGTCCGCAGTCTGATATTTTCCATACTGCATACATGAACCGAGACCAAGCACAGTCCCCACACGTGACTGCAGACGGCCTTCCCGAGCAGCCCACCTCGAGAGTTGACCCTGCTGGACGGAGGACTCCAGGCCTCGGGCCAGGCAGAGCTGCATGCTGGCCAGCAGCTGTCCTGCTTGACCTCCTGGGAACCAGCGAGACTCAGGCCACCAAGCTCGAGCCGTCATCTGTGACAGCTGTGAGCTGAGCATGTCTGTCAGAACCCGCAGGGCAGGATGGGACGTCCTGGAGGCAACAGCCATGAGAGGCTGCTCTGCCCGTCATGGGAGCAGGAGGACGCCCGCGGCACCCTGACTGCGACTGAACTCATCTTGGGAGAGCAGCAGGGACAGTACGGGGCAGCATGTGATGCACTATGGTAAACACAAGGCAGTGTTTCAAGCCAGATGCCACCCAGAGGCTCTCATGCCAGCGAGGCCTGTCTGCTGCAGAGCTTGGAACACTTGTGTTTCTGCTTCTGCTGGTTATAACTTAAGATGAAAACACAACAGAGGATGTGTACTTTTGAAAAGTAAGCCCTTCTGTCTATATCAGCTGGACAGTATTTATGTGTAAATGTTTGTTCAAGTAACGACTCAAGTTTTCTTTTAAGACTCATTTGTGTCAGACTGGTTAGAAATAACAAGTGAAAATGGATTTGGCATTGAAATCTAGGAAAATTATTCTATATTTTTCGCTTTCCTTAAAAGTTAATGAAATGATTTTTAAAGCTTTTTTAACCCCATGATAAGTATCAAGCATAGACAAATAAATCTTCATGGGTTTAGCAAAGTAATTTGAAAATTAGGTTGAAATTTTTTTTCCTGATTAAAAAGTGGTGGCATTTTAAACAAACAAAAGTGGGAAAGTTGCAAGGTAAATGTTTATCTATTTAAAAGAGCAAAGTATTTCCAAATATCAATAATTTACATAAGAGTAATATAAGTGTATTGCAAGTAGAAGCTAGCACTGATTTTATTAACTGAGTTAGTGTCATTGTTTATTTAGTCTGTATATATTAAAATACCTGTCATCACAGTAGTTTATGATTTCAGTTTTTATGTTCACTCTTTTTAAAAATGTCACGTAAACTGGGCGTGGTGGCGCATGCCTGTAATCCCAGCTCGCGGGGGATTGAGGCAGGAGGATCATTGCGAGTTCAAGGCCAGCCTAGGCTGCAAAGTGAGTTCAAGACCAGCCTGAACTGTATAGTGAGACCATGCCTCAAAAAGACAAAAAAAAATGTCATGTAACCTACATTAATAAACATGAAAATGTACGTGGTATCTCTGGAATATTTATCTGTATAACCTTTGTGCCCTGGCCGGGAGACACACTGACATGTAGCTGCAGAGCATTTGGTGATTGGCTAGCTGCAGAGGTGTAGGCAGCATTCTGGGAACCACATGGGCTGGTGCAGCTGAAGATTGGCACTTCCTGACCCAGAGGGTGGAGGGAGGACCTCGCCAACATTTGCCCCACCCTGCCGGCTCTTCCCATTGCTGGTGCTTCCCATTGCTCCTGATTTTAGGGCCAAGCCAGAGGCCAAGGGAGCACACTTCATAAAGGTCCGTATCCTTAGGCATGAAGAATGGGTTTGGGAGAATCAATTGAGATTTTTTTAAAAAACAGTACAATTTCTGCTAAAGGCATCGAGTGGTTGCTTTTTTATATCTCTTTAGAAAAATTTAGATTTATAATGAACATATATATAGATTCCTGACTTGCAAATGTTATTGATGGCAATCACATTTTTTTTTTCTAGTGAGAGAGGAATATAAGAACAGGGATGCTGGAGATTTAGCTCAGTGGCACACACGCCTGTCTGGCAAACGCAAGGTCCTGAGTTTGAGTCCTGGTACCAAAAAAAAAACAAAAAAGAAAGAAAAAGAAAGAAAGAAAGAAAGAACAAAAGAAAGAGAAAAAGAGAAAAGAAAAGAAGAAAGAAAGAGAGGAGAGGGAACCCTAGAAGATCCGCACTGCCTCCTGTCTGTGGGAGACAACCCCTCGCTGGCTAGCAGTCCCTCAGCAGAAGGGAGTAGGGAGAATGAAAGCAGATGGCTCTCAGCCTCTGAGAGTTGAAAATGAATAAAAAGTTTTCAGTAAAGTATTTCTAGACTTTGTAGCTAGTGCACACCTATAATCCCAGCACCCTGGAAGGCCGAGGCAGGAGGATCCCAAGTTTAGTGATATAGCGAGTCCTTGTCTCAAAAAACAAAGTAAAGGTTCAAGATGTAGCCCAGTACCACCAGAAAGAAAGAAGAAAAAAATCTTTCCTGATCACCAGAAACAGTATCCTTTCTCCAGCCAGAATATAACCTTTAAACTCTCCTATCATTTTTTTTTTCAAAATACAGTTGAGTTCAAAAACGTTTGAATTTTATTAACAGGAAAATGTTTGGGTTCTTTCCTCACCAAGTAAAATATAGTGGTTTTGGGGAAATGGAATAAATATACAATTGGAAAAATTTAGGTAGACAAGAAGGCTGGAGGAAGCCTTATGTCCCAGAACAAGTGGAAAGTGTTAAGCAGGATTGATGACCCAGTCTTGTAAGCTTGTGGGCCAGGCCTTCCCAAGCAGTTCATTTTCACCCAGGCCACAGTTGATAATTGAGGAGAAAATACTGCCACCATCTCTCATTTCCTGGAATTATCAGCTGTGTAACTAAGCCTGTCAGATTATGAGATTAAATGTATGTGGAAAGAAACACCGTAGGATAAAGTAAGTGTGTCTTAGGGTGGCACGCAGCAAAATGCACTACACCTAAGGAAGAGGAGAAATGCCATGGTGCAGTGATTCCCCGAACCCTGAGACCTGCTCGGACATTTGTGAGTCTAAAACCATCTTGAAGCACAGAGATGCTACTTGTCTCTGGCAGTCATGCTTTCCCAAGTGAAAAGTTGAATTTTCCAGAAACTACTCGGCATGTGATGGTGCAACCAGTTGAGTGCAGAAGCTGACAGGAAAATCTATTTTAGATAGAGTGCAAAAACATAAATGCTGCAACTGTCCTCATTAACGCTGCAACTGTCCTTGTCATGGCTTGGGGAATGTTACAGCTTCTGTCTAGATGTCCCCCTAAAGCCTCATACAGTCATAGATGGGGCTTTTTATGAGTATGTGACACTGGGACTGATTCATGGCGCAGTGCTAGGCTCAAGGGCACGAGGATTAAGGGTGTGAATGCTCCGCACCCTAAGTAACCTGGATAAGAGATAAGGGACAGAAAGAGCTGTGGCCATCCTTGTCTCTGCGATGCCACCCTGCCTTGGAGACGGCTGATTATGGACTGAAACCTCCATTTTGTGAGCTAAATAAACCTTTCCCTCTTTAACTTCTGGCATTGGGTATTTTGTCTCAGCAACATTTGCTAAGTAACTGAAATGGAATAAATTATATTTATGAAAATGTAGTATTTTGTCAGATGTAAAGGATTTATTGCTTTAAGCTGAAATATTTTCAAAACTTCTCTACTTTGGTGTCAAATATGGAAAATATTATTAGATAAAATCAGTGGTATCCTGGTAAATTGGAGCTCCAGAAAAAGCCGCTATGTAGCATTCACCAATTTCAGCGGCATAAATACTCCTTACAGTGCCAATTTCAAGATTCCAACACTTTAACCATTGCCTTGAAAACTTCATGGGCACTGAGTCCTTGTGAGCAAGTACAGGCCGAAACCAACATGCCACGGGATATAACCCTCAAAAGCAAAGGGCCTGTGTGGTCCTCAGTAGTTTAAAGTATGTTAAGATAGCCCAGGCCAAACAGGTTGGAGAGTAATAGTTCTTATACAAGATTTTCCACCTTTCCCACCATAAAGAAGACAGAGAAACTAGTAATAATGATAAAGCAAACAGGAGCAAAGCGTTGATTGGCAGCTGCTGGCCACCATTTGGCCTTGAAGTGATAGAAACTGACTCAAGTCAGCAGACGCCACGTGGCCCACAGGGTGGGAAGCCCTGTGTGAGTCCAGGTTTTCAGCTGATGTCTAGAAGGAAGAGGGGCTGTCATGGTTTGGGGCCATCAGGCCAAGAGGTTGTTCAAATCAGCAGCAGGCTGTATCCGTGCAGGCAGTCCTACAAGCCAGAAGTCAGCCTGTGCATGGTGGGCCAGGGGCGCTGACTGCATGCAGTCTAGAATCACACAGGGAACCAGAGGTCAGACTCAGCAGTGTCTCGGAATTCAGATAACACAGCGTGTACGGTTTCTTCCCAGGGGGACGTGACTCAGTCAGTGGAGAGCTCCGCTCTGAAGCTCTGGGTTTAGTGGACTGAAGGCACGGACAGGGAGCAGAGCCGGCCTAGCCTTGTTGCTCTGGTGACCACCTCCTTGGCCCTTTTTTTTCTTTCTTTAAAGAGAATAAAAAATTTTTTAAAAAACATTAAAAACGATACAGAATTTCAAACAAGATGAGAGGAAATCAGCAATGGTTGTTATATTGCATATGGTTATCTTCAAAGTAGTTGTTCAGATTACCAGATATAAGCATGCAAAACTGATCCAAAACATTAAGCATTAACTGTTCCTTTCAATAAACCAATAGAAATTAGTAGTACAATCATCTTAGCTATTTGTGAGTGTGTGTGTATATATATATATATATTTTTTTTTTTCCCTTCTTTCTTTTCTCCTTTCCCTCATCCCAGTTGTTCTTTCCTTTTGAGCAGTTTCTTTCCCTTTCACAATATCTATTTATGTTTTGGATTTTATTTACTCTTGCAGGTTCTTCCACTAGGGAAACAATATGGTATTTACACATACGGGTCTGATTTATTTCACTTATGAGTACCACAGTGATATATGTGCATACCCATATTTACAGCAGCACAATTTGTAATAGCTAAATCTTGGAAACAATCCAAATGCCCATTGACTGAGGGATGGATAAAAAAACATATTATTTTTATACAATGGAGTGTTACTCAGCTATAAAGAACGATAAACTCAAGGCTTTTATAGGTAAATGGATGTAACTAGAGACCGTACTCATAAGTGAAATAAATCAGACCTTGGGCCTTTTGAGTGTGTTGCTGCGCAGCCCACCAGGGAGGTGAGAAGGCCATCAGAGGAGGCTGCTGCTACAGAGATGCATTAATGGCCACACCCAAAACTGTCATGCATGTGTCTTTGTTTTCCTTCTTTTCATGAAAAGAGTTTATTGGTTAAATGTTACACAACACTCTTTAAAATTTCATGCTGAGCACACAGGATGAGAAACAATTCTTGTCACTCAAGTCTACAAGATGAAACAGCTGCTGGAAATCTGAAGTACAGACAAAAGGTAGAATGAAGCAAAACTTTGGCTGGGCATGGTGGCACACACCTGTAATCCAAGCACTCGGGAGGCTGAGGCAGGAGGATTATTGCCAGTCTGAGACCAGCCTGGGCTACAAAGTGAGCTCAAGGCCAGCCTGAACTGCATGGCAAGACCCTGTCTCAGAAAACAACAACAAAAAAGAATGAAGCAAAGCTTAAATACTAAGCAACTAAATCAATATAAGTGGAATTGGAAGATAGTGGTTCTAGATTTTAAACACCACCAAATTTCTGGTTTAAAAAGTGAATATTTGGTTTGTGGCAAAACAGCTTTGAGAATTTGGCATGAGAAAAAATTACTCCAATATTTAAAACCTGTTCTCTCCCAATTCTTTTTCCCTTATATTATTACATTGTAGGGAAAGGTGGCACCTAAGCAGGGAAAGGATAGGTTTTATTAACAATCAATAGCTCTTACCTCTGCGGTTAGACTCTACAGTTAGAGCAATTAGACAAACAAAGGAGTGGAAAACCCAGAAAGACCCAGAAAAGCACCAGGTAATGCTGTTACCTTAAGAAGTCGTCAGAAGGAGTTAACAAAACAGGAGAAAACCAGAAACATAAAAGTTCAGGTAACCCGCCCCCGCTTACCCACCTTGGATAAAATGCAAAGGAGACAAGGGGCAGCCACCTGAGGACTCTCACTTCATGTGTAAAAGACGAACACACACACATACCCATATATGTATATTCTCACTTTAGCATCACTGTATTACTGCAC